GGGGGGGGGGGGGGGGGAGGGGGGGGGGGAGGGGAGCCGAGCGATTCGACTCCCCCTATTTAACACCTCTAATTTAATGTAAAATCATGCTATATTTATAGGGGCTTGCTGGCCTCTGCCAAGTAACACACATGGTGGTGGAGGCCACATTTTTTTAAAAAAATACATAGGGGTGGAGCCCTGTGCTACAGTGCAGGCCCCTGTGAAATTAAGCCCTGTACGTTTGACTTAATTCATTAATGTATTGAACATGTTAATAGTTTCTTGTGGATAACCTATCTGATTATGGTTAGAATGTGGTAAGAATATCATGGTAACCTATTTTATTCTCACTAGTGTCATTTTCTTGTGCTGGTGATCATTGGAATTATGGGGTTTGGACAAATTACTTATTGCAAGATTTTATGTGCGTGTGTATATATATATATATATAATTTTATTTATTTATTTGTTTATTTATTATTATTTTATTTTTTGTGCTTCTTTTACAACCTGAGGTCTGCCCTTTTCTTGCATTGTGCATCGAACTTCTGCTATACCATTCTTTGATTGTACTCCTTTAGCATTTGCTTCGCTACTTTCCCAAATTCCTTTCTTCCTGTTCTCTCCTCTCTTTTCACATGCAGAATCACATTGCTGAAGTGGATCGTACTAGTTAGGCCTCGTTTATTTTGATCGATAGATTCATGTTACGCTTCCGATCAAGTCGACGTGTCACCTACGTTGCTGCTGCAAATTTATAATACACCAAATATAGTACATTCAAACCGACAACGTTGTCCTATATAATTGTTTAATTACATCGATAAAATAAATAATGAACATAGATTACAAATTAGAAGTCAATAATTCATTAATTTTACATTACTCAAAGCATATAAATATTTAACATTTGCAGGAAGTACAATGGGGAGAATTCAGCATGGTAGAAGCAGAACGTCGCCTCCTCGCCAATGCTTTACTTGATATCTCAAACCAAAGATTTGTTCTTCTCTCAGAGGCATGCATACCTTTGTTCAACTTCAAAACCATCTACACTTACCTCATCAACTCGAAACACTCATTCGTCGAATCATATGACCAGTGGGGTCCTGTCGGCCGTGGCCGATACAACAAGCGGATGAAGCCAGTAGTCACGATCGAGAAATGGCGGAAGGGCGCCCAATGGTTCGAGGTGGATCGAGATTTGGCCATTGAATTTGTCTCGGACCGAAAATTCTTCCCATTGTTCAAAAGATATTGCAAGCCTGCATGTTACTCAGATGAGCATTACTTGCCCACATTTGTTGCCATGAAATTTCCATGGAAAAATTCCAACAGGACTTTGACTTGGGTTGACTGGTCAAAGGGTGGTCCCCATCCAACTAAATTTCTAAGAACAGAGGTTACAGTGGATTTGTTAAACCAGATGAGGGGTGAAAAGCAATGCATATACAATGGGAAGCCCTCAAACATTTGCTATTTGTTTGCCAGGAAATTTACACCAAGTGCTTTAGATAGGCTACTGAGGTTTGCTCCAACTGTCATGAATTTTGGTTGATAGTTAGAGTATACTTGCATAAATTTATCATTGATCTATACATTTTTGGGGGGAGAATTTGTGC